CCACAGAGTGCGGCCAGGTCCTCAGGCGGCACATCGACCAGCTCCGGCGGCGAATGCTGCCTGATCACATGCCAGCAGAGGTACCGGAGCAGCGGGCAGAGCTAGAAGAGGGTCCTAACGAGGGTCCAGAACAAACCCTGCCCGCACCAGAGGACTCACACCAGGATAACCAGCCCCCGGCAGCGGATGCGGGGTCCCCAGAGCCCGAATCAGTAGCCGCAGAGGTCCCAGCACCACCTCAGACTTCTGCCCCGGAGGTCCGAACCCCGGAGGCCCCAGCTCCGGCCCCCAGACGATCCGCGAGGGTGCGACGGCCCCCAGCGTACCTTAAAGACTATGTTTCATAGGGGAGGGTTCGGACTATGGGGGGAGGGATGTTGTGTCCACTGACCGCCACCTGAGGTCAGCACACACACCTGAGCTTCAGTCCTGGACAACAATGGGGACTAGGATCCTAGCCCTACACTGGGGAACCAATGGGAACCATGGCGGGAGATTCAAACCCACCAATGGTGACCAGGGGGGTGTCCCCAGGTTTGTATATAGTTGGCCTGCCGGCCGTTTGTTCCTTCTTCTTGTTGTGTACTGAATAAAGCGTGCTATGCACCACCACGGAGTCTATCGTTTGTACGGGCGACCACCCACTACATAACACCTACTTTCAGAGAATTTACTTCAGTATTCAACATGGGTAAACCCCCAGTTTGATGGATAAGTTGGAATGGTCATAGCCATTTAGGGGTAAATACCAAGTTCTAATTGCTTTTAGGCATGGTATTTATCTAGAGCTGGGAGCCCTGGCTCCACAGTCATTGGCTCCACAAATGCCTTGGCAGCCAGTAGCAGCAAAGCAGGCCAGCCACAAGCTGCAGGAAGTGACTCAGCAGTCCACGAAGGACAGGAATCCTCCAGACAGCGCAGGAGGGAGCAGAGACCACAGTAGCAGCCACACCCAAGGGAGGTGTGGCTGGAACAGTCATATGTGGGGGTGGATGGGTGAGAGTCCCCATGGGCCAAACATCACGTCCTTTTGAGGCAAACAAGAGGGAGGTCAGGGCAGAAGGCACAGAGGCCCTAGGCGAGGAGCCATTGGTACTGGGCCCTGTCCTGCCTGGGCCCTGTCCTCTCGGATGTTGAGGTTGACAAAGTCCGGTCCTAACCTGCCTCCAGGCAACTCTTTAAAAAGCACTGTAAGGGTAGGCCAGGGAGTAAGATCCAGATCTCTCCTGTGGCTTGTAGGGAGAGGAGAAGGGCAGCTAGAGAGAGGGGCCAGGGTGAGGCTGAATCCCCTCCACCTTCTGAGGCTCATCCTAGGCAGTGGCAGAAAGGAGGCTGGAGAACAAGCCAGTCCTGGGCTGTGTGACCCGCTGCCATGAGAGCCTGACACTCTCTACAGTAAGAGTCTAGGGTGTAAAATCCTGCTGGGTGCTGTGCAGTCATTAGGATCTGGCCAAAATCAAATGCCCTTAATTCTGTACTGACAATATTGAAAAGTTGAATGCGATTTACTGTATAAGGCTGTCACGATGTTATTTACCTAAATCTCTCAGATGCTGTATCTAAATTTCCCACCTAAGTGATATGTTCTCATCTGCCATCTTTAAAGTACATCTAAGTAAAATACATAAGAATAAAAGTAAACATGACACAATTTTAACCATTATTTATTGATATTCACTTTGTTATGGTCTTGGTTGGATCTGAGGCTGGTGGCCCAACTGAATGATTTTGGTTGTGCTGTTGGGAAGCTCCTTGGGTAAAAAAAGAAAGCATATTTTAAAAAATGATGCTTCATGTAGCCTGTTACTCAAGTTGTGATCCACCCAGTATATGACTTGCTTGGTTTGCCAGTCCCCAGGTCCTGGTGAGGGTTCCCCCTGATTTTCGGGGCTTCAGCCCACTGCTGGCCAGTGGGGAAACCTCTGCCCGCAAACAGCCACATTTCAGCGGAAGTGATGTCATCATGTTGGGGATGTTGCATGGGATGCTCTGGTTTGAGGGCAAAACTCTATGGTAAAATTGGCCTAAAACCATAGAGTTTTGCCCTCAAACCAGAGTGTCCTTCACAATGTTTCCTATGCAATGACGTCACTTCTCGGTCACCAGAAGTGACATCATTGCATTGGGGAACATCCTGGAATGCACCCCAAATCCCCCCGCTGGTGCAGCTTATTTTGTTGTTGTCTGCATGTCTAGAGTGTTGACACTTGAATTTTTTGGTAGCTGCTGTTTGACCTACATTAAGACAGCCTTACTCCTACACTGGGAATTGTAATTTTAAGGAATATGAGATGCTGAGGAAAGCTGGCAAACAATCTGTCTAATGTTCTTAGCATGAGATCTGTGTATCAGAGCTCAGGGGTTCTTGTAAACTCATGAAATATCACTCAAATTCAGAGAGATTATTTTCTCCTTTGTGACAAAGAGACAATGGATTTACTTTCAAATTCTGGTGGCTGTTAAAACACTTCCAACTATCCTATTCCTCAAAACTGCTTTTTTACAAATAGCACATATCAGTTCAGAGGGGGAAGAATATTTTGACAATACTTGGCTATGGTTACCTCTGTCAAGATTTGTTGGCCAAACTGTTTGCATGTTTGAGTTCACAGCACCATATATTTTCTGTTATTCTGCTTTAAACAATAGCAACAGATAGAGGGTCTTTGTGCTAAGCATAAGTCTAATTCTGAAAAACTAGCTGCTGCTGGCTGTAGCTTTAGCTCTTGACAGGCACATTTATTAGAGACAAGCCCGTGGAAGGCTCACAGATGAAAATGTTTTGCTTGAGCCAGGCATCGTGTACTGATGACAGAACACAAACTAATTAAGAGAAAGGAAGAAAGATATGCTTCACACTAACATATATGTTCATGTGTGGGTGTAGGTGCGTATTTAGTTTTGTTGTGTAGTAGCCTGGTATAGGCTTGCCAAATGTGCCCGGGGGGCGGGTAACCCCCCGCTTCGGAGCCCCCGATTCCCGCCCTGCCGGAATCGGGGCTCGGGGGGAACCCCGCCCCCGAAGCTGCGTCACCAGAGGTGACGCAGCCACGTTACTTGATTCAAAACCTTCTTATATTAACAACTAGCCTGCTACCTGTGCATCGCTACAGTATTTAAGTTCCATAAATCTATATATCTAATAGCGAAGGCGCCCCCTGCATGCGGATATCTAAATCCACACATCGAGGGCACCTGGGGGGCACGGAGATTTTCCTGCAGATTTGGGGCAGTCACCATGCGGGGAGGGAAAGCTTGGCGGGCTGGCCAGGCATTGCTGCCGCTGGGGGAGAGGGGAGGCTTTGCAGGCCGAGCTGAGGCCTCACTGCCGTTGCCATGGGGGGGCTGGGGGAGATTTGGCGGACCCTATTCCCTAAGTACAAGTGGGGGACCTGCAAGGATTTGCAGGGGGCACTTCATTATCCCTTCCTCTACTATTCCTCTTTCTTTTCCTTGAAAGCCCAATGGCTTGGGTCCTAAGCAGCATGAGCAGAGTTGCAGTAGAGGAAGGCAACTTCCCTGCTTCCCCCTCTTACTGCAGCTTTCTTGGACCCAAAGGAGCAGTGTAGGGGGCAAACTGGGAATCTTCAGCAGGAGGAGAGGATCAGCAAAGAGTCCTTCCATCCTCTACCATTCGGTTAGAATTGCATCATTAGATCCAAGGCACAGTGGGAGGGGAGCCTTTAAACCTTATCTACCTGGGGGTCTGCAATCTCTATTGTACCTGTCTTTCTGTTTCCCATCACTGTCATTGCATGGGAGGGTTGATTCTGAAGGTGGGAATGGACAAGAAGAAAATATTAACCCTTCCATAAAATGACGTCATAGAGACAATTGCCAGCAGCCAAATTTCCTCCATTGTGTCTGGAACTGACTTCATTCATGACTTCCTATACATTTTGTGTTTTCTGTTAGATTGAACCTCTAAGTAGCAATGTACCTGAGAATGCAATATCTCATTTTGTATGGGTTAATGGGAGTAGTTATAATATCTATAATCTGGATCTCTGTTTAACATTCTTTGAGAGTTGTTAAACTAAGGTCATGAAAAATGAATTCATGAGATTCATGCTTCATTCTGTATAACTTTATAAAACAAAATATGATTTGAATAGCAACTCTGTTACAAATATAGTATGAACCTACTATATTCTCCCATAATGTGTGTTCCATTTTTTTTTAAAAAAAATATATTAGGAGGTATTCTATGAGGTCTAGAAATGTATTTTTATAACAGAACAACTTCATACCATACTTCAAAATTAATTTGAATTAAGACTTACAATTTTTAGTACTACATGAACTGAATGAACTTCTTGTCTAAAATGTCATGTTTAAAATGTCATGTTTTAAAAAAATGTCATGTCCACTCTTCCAAGTTCATGGTGCTCCATCTTTCACAATAGGTTTGGGTTGGAGGAATGGTCAGCTTCTGCCCGAAGCCTATTGTTAGATTTATATTTGGCCCAAGGGATAAATGCAGCAATGCATATATTCATCCTGAGTCCAAGGCTCTCCGTCCCCTACAAGGATAGGTGGTCCTCCCGTAGACTCTGAATTCATACTGTTTGTGCTTATTGTGATCTTCACCTATATGCTCTGTTCTGTTGCCAAACCAAAAACATTATAAACCAGCTTAAGTGAGACAAAATGATAATGTGTTCACTTTATCCTACTTTATACTTTTTTCATATTTAACAGGTGTTGCTGAACGATCCTTTGTATATTGGACTGAAACATAAACGAATCAGAGGCCGAGCTTATGACGACCTTCTAGATGAATTTATGCAAGCTGTGACCAACCGGTAACTGCTTATAACTGTATTTACACTGTAGAATGAGAGTGTAGAACAAAAGTGTAGCAGCTGGGAGGATATATGTCTTTTATTTCAGTTCTTTAAAAGTTTATGAAATGCAGTTGATACATGGAGCTTATTTATTTATAGCATACTTATACTTTTGGAGCTGCGGTGGCTCAAGTGGTTAAGACGCTGAACTGCAGGCTGTGGAAGGTCAGTAGTTCAGCAGTTCAAGACCCGGGTGCCGCAAGACGGGGTGAGCTCCTGTCTCTAGTTCCAGCTCCTGCCAGCCTAGCAGTTCGAAAGCAAGAAATTGCAAGTAGATAAATAGGTACCACTTCGGTGGGAAGGTAACAGCGTTCCGTGCGCCTTGGTGTTTAGTCATGCCGGCCACATCACCACGGAAACGTCTTCGGACAGCGCTGGCTCTTCGGCTTTGAAACGGAGATGAGCACCGCAACCCTAGCGTCGGACTCGACTGGCTTTCGAGCAAGGGAGACCTTTACCTTTACCTATACTTTTACCTTTCACGGATACCTCTACTTTATTCGGGCTTAATAGCCATAGGCCATACACCAAAGAACATTTAGGAATAGGAAATAACAACAAAGCTGAATTTAGGTACATTAATTGTGCACGTTTTGCTGTAATTACTTTAAAATTATTTAAAAATAATATTAATTTATGAACATCTGAAGTGTTTGAAAGCCACTTTCCTGACTTCAGCAACTTTTGGACAGTAGACAATGATGTGATAATAAATCAACTACCAACAAAAGACAGTTGCAAAAGTGCCCTTCTGGAGTTGTCCTAAGGAAACGACCCTTCATCTGAGCTGTGGGCAATGTGCTGCGGTGCACTATCATATATAACCGCCTCGGTTTGGAAACTGTCAGAGTGCAAGGATATTGCAAAGTTTCAAATTCAGCTCGGTGTATGATTCCCACATAAAATGGGGAGCATCTCTTTCTGACATCTTTTCTTGTCTGTTGAGGTTCATAGGCCTCTTTTTGAGTGATTTTGTAATCCACAGTTCTGTTCCACAAAGACCAGCAGCACTCATGGGTTGCTAATCGAGTGAAAACAGTGAGGTCTTCAGCATTAAGTAGTCTAAATTTGAAACGGATAATGGCTTTCCATATCAAGGTTGAGATATTTGGAAGGCCCATTTCAAGCTGTACAGATGAAGATGGTATACGCAAAGGTAGAGCAAGGATTTTACCAAAAAACATGTCTGAATCTTGTTGAGTAGTTTCACTGGGCCTGAAAACCAAATCGGTGAACCATAAAGCATATGCCCTGCATGCCTGACTTTCTGTGGAGGCCCAGGTCACCACCACTGCCAGGTCTGCCTTTTATCGTCTTCAGAAGATCAGGCAGTTTGCTCCTTATCTCTCCGCCCAGGCTAAGGTGCCTACAGTGACCTATGCAATGGTCACTTCCAGGTTAGATTACTGTAATTCACTCTATGCAGGCATGCCCTTGATCCTGACCCAGAAACTCCAGCTGGTGCAAAACGTGGCAGCTCACCTGCTGGCTATGATGCCTTTGCAGGTGCGTATTCAGCCAGTACTCCTCCAGTTGCACTGGCTACCTATTGAGTACCAGATCCATTTCAAGGTGTTGGTATTAACCTTTAAAGCCCTGAGCGGCCTGGGACCTGCATATCTAAGGGACCACCTCTCCTCATATACGTCCTGGAGAGCTTTGCACTCCACTAATCAACATTTACTGCTTGTCCCTGGTCTTAAGGATGCCCACTTAGCCTCAGCTAGGCCCCTGGCCTTCTCTGTCCTGGCACCTACTTGGTGGATAGGGTTGCCAAGTCCTACCGTAGCTTTAGTGGGGGAAGTTCTAGCCCAAAGCACACACACTGTGATGATGTCACCCGGAAGTGACATCATCGCGTTGGGCAAGTTGGGGGCGGGACCACTATAATTCGAGGTAAAACCATAGAGTTTTCCCTTGAATGATAGAGCATCCCCCTGCAACATGCCCGACGCGATGACGTCACCTGCGGGTGATGTCATCACGCCGGGCATATCTCCGGCACTTTGGGGGTGGTACGTTCCCCCCGGTGGCCTGATCCAGGCTGGCAGATAACGGACCCATCGAGTGGGGGTTTCCCCGCCCCCCCTGGGGGACCTGGCAACCCTACTGGTGGAACATGCTCCCACTTGAGATCAGGGCCTTGCAGAACTTACTACAGTTCCGCAGGGCCTGCAAAACAGAGTTGTTCCACCAGGTCTTTAGTTGAGGCGGTGGACACCCAACTAGCTGGCATCCCTGTTCTGTTAGCCAAATTGCTTTAGTTATTAATAATTGTGGGGAATTATAATATTTAATGAGCAATTGGCAACTAAGGGACACAAGCCTATGTATACAGAAGTCCCACCTTTCCAGTAAAACCAAGAATAAACGCAGAAACCAATTCTTTAGAGAAATGGGTTCTTTACTGAAGAATATTTCAAACATACAATAAAACACAAGCACACATACACTTATTCAGACATAGGAAAATTAGAGAGAAAGGGATAGCGACATTCGCATGAACAGGATGTTTCGTTGAGGGGTAATATTTACCTGTCCTCAGCGTGATAAAGCAATCCACCGGAAAAATGGGAAGACTATAAGGGAATAAGGGTCGTATTCTGAACCAGCAGAACACGTGACTCTGGGCAGCGCTACACCGAGAGTCAGCAGGATGGGGCAGGGGCTTAGGTATGGAGATAGATAGATAGATAGATAGATAGATAGATAGATAGATAGATAGAGAGAGAGAGAGAGAGAGAGAGAGAGAGAGAGAGAGAGAGAGAGAGAGAGCGCGCACAGGGGGAGGGCAGCTCTTTTATGCCATTTTGGGGCTTGGAGCTGGGCTTCACTGGCCACCTCCCTTGTGACATCCCCCTGGATCATCCCCCCTCCCTGATCCGTCCCCTGGAAGTTTCCTTAAAAAACTGGTTGCAGGAGGATGGGGCAGTGTTGGGCAATGTTGAATCAAATCACTTTACCAGTGGCACCTTTGGAGAACAATAGCTGAGTTCAGAGGTATTGTCTTTTAATGACTCTGGCTGATGAGTTGATGAGTTTAGCTGGGCTGTGGCAGTCTGGCTGATGAGTTGAGTGATGCGTCAGCCAGCTAATCCCTTCCTGGCAGAGGCTCCTTTGTTATGCTGTGGAGCCTAAATACATCGTCTGGTGAAGGTGAAGAGGGGTGGGGTGGGGGTTGACTGCATGTTGAAGGAAAGGTTTTGCTCATGGAGTCTCTTCAGGATTTTAAGTCCCTTTTGCAGAATATGGCGTTTTTCCATGGCACATGGTTATTAGTTTCTGTGTGTTCTCTGTGTCTGGGGAGCTGGTCTCTTTTCCTGCTGCGCTGAGGGTAAGAGAGGGCAGATAACCTCAGGGACCATTGGCACATCATCTCAGGAGAAGGCTTTTCCTCTGCTGGCGTGTGCCTGCAGCTAGCATCAGTTTGGGTCACCACACAGTTCAGTCCCTTTTGCACACTAATTGCACAGTCCAATTTTATCACTTATGAATTTATGAGTCCATAAGAGCACTACACGTGCCTTGCAGGGCAACAGTACAGAGCCCATATAGAGACTGCCCTGTGTAGAGGCAGTCTAGATCATCTGCCTATGGAATCATGGGATTATGTAGAGGTGACTCCAGTATCATCTATCCAGTTTCTGGGTGTGTGTGTGTGAATTATTGCTCACCATCTTTTAACTGTTTAACTGGATTAACTGTTTCTGGTTTTAGTTGTTTTTAGGTTCATTGTGTAATTGATTTTTATTTTTATATATCTTGATGTTACCCACCATGAGCACATTAGGGAAGGGGGGGGGGAGATATACATTTTAAAAATAAATAAATATGTGGCAACATAAGCGTTTTATATGCTCACAGAATTGCTGGTATATATTAAATTTACACCATCTATCTTAATACTGCGAGCACCTTAATGTATTGTTGTAATGATAAGAATATTTTATAGTGTTTTTATTTTTTATGGTTTTATGCTAATTCGGCACACTCTGCCGTCTTTTGTAAGCCGCCCAGAGCCTGTTTACAGGGTGGGCGGGGTATAAATATAAGTATAAATAAATAAAGCACCTTGGGTGAAGAAAAACTTTCTTAGTGCTAACAAAGTTAGTTCAGTGTTCTGTTTGACTAATTGAATGTGTTTGAACCAAGATAGGCTGGACTGAAACACATCCCCTAGGTATCTGAATTCATTAACCACTTTCATTAAGTGTACATCAAATTTCCAGCTTTTATTTACTCGCTTCCTAGATTTTGTAAGTATCATGAGTTTAGATTTATTGTAATTAATCTCTAAGAGTTTATTGCTGCAGTAAGTCATGAAGACTTTTATTGCTTGCTTTAGACCAATTTGTGTTCTGGAGAGCAAAACTGATAAATTGTGAAGGAGTTATACCAGCATAAACATAGGTGCCAGCATGTCAACTCACCTTATCAGGAGGGAAGGCATCAAGTTCATTTTTTTCCTTCTAGTTTTTAGTGCTTTGATAAGTTCAAGTACCACCCGATGGGTTACAGGTTCCCAGTGTGGTGGCTACTGAAGGTCGATCTCAAACCCGAAGTTGGGTTCAGCATCATGTTTCTTGTGGAGATTTCCAAAGTAGTTTTCCCAGATAGCTGCTGGAATAGGGGCTATGGTTGCCCCTCTGGGTTTCATTAATGGGGTAATTAGGTGCCAGAGAGACATACCTCATTTGTTTTGGTAGCTGCAATTATTTTCCCACATAAGGATTCAACAGCCTGATCCTTTTTCTTCTTTAACATATTCTTATATTCCTTTTTAGTTCAGGAAAGCAAGCATCTTGCAGTAGTTGTATTTTTTTTGTCTAAAAAGCCTTTATCTGAGCTTAACTTGATATTTATACTGTTGTTTTGTTGTGAATGTACTTATATAGAATAGCAACAAGATGTCCCTGGAAACATGGTGGTTCTTATTATATTAGGAAAATGTCTGCTAA